CAAAATTTAGTATATCCTATGCACGATCAATATTTGATGGGAACTTGTCAAACCGGCTTTTATTGATGCTTCTTAAAAGTAAGCAAAGAAAACCGATAAGGGTATTAGTTACAACATTTGAAAGTTGGAACCTTTCTTGAAACTTAAATACCTATATAAGAATTCATAATATATCATTAATATTTATATTGGGCTCAGGAATATGTATAGGCTTATCGAAATCAACTTTAGGAGCTTAAAACGGATTAATTGAAATGCTTTCTAAATCTGCAATTTCTTCATAAAATTCTGAATCATCTGACGCATCTTCAGAGTAATTATTATTATTATCATTATTTTTTATCATATTATCGCTATTATCCAAAAACTCATCATTATCCTCAAAGCGATCGATATATTCGTTATCTATATTATCATATTTATTATCCTCAAAGCGATCGATATATTCGTTATCTATATCATATTCGTTATTCTCAAAGTGATCATTATATTTGTTATGCTCAAAGTGATCATTATCGTTATTGATATCTAAAAATTTTGATTTATCTTTTAAAGGTAATTCAGTCTTATTTTTATGATTATCTGAAGGCTTTAACTTGGAATGATTTAAATTTTTAATATTACTTTGACTTTCTTGGAACCAAAAGTGACCATATCTTTTTCTCTTTTTTGTAGATATAAGAGATAATGATCAAACTTGGTTAACAGTTTGTTTTGAAGTAATAGATCTTATTGCTGACTTTATGTTATTAAGACTAATTTTTTTATCTTTTGATTGTACTGAGCTCTTAGCATATATAGTTTGATAACTATTTGTTTTTCTTCTCTTAGCGAACTCATTTTGAAAATGTTCTTCTTCTTCTTCATGTTGCCTTTTTGTTCTCGGATCGATTATACATCTATCAGAATTTTTACAATAACATTTTTTGCAACAACATCTAACCTTCTGTCAAACTCTAATGTATTGTGATATGATAAAGTTAAGAAATTAGAAATAAAGAAGTAAAGATGATATTATTTAAAAGAAAAGATATAAGCAAGTATTTATAGGTTGTGTTGCTAAGCTGTTATCTAGAAGCGAAAGATAATATTATAATAAAATAATAGGGTAATAAAGAGTGTTATATATCAATTTTGCAATATATAATTATTTCTAGATTTATAGCTTATCAACTAAAATATTCTTTATAATTTGATGAGTTAAATTTATTAAATATTTTATTCAATTTCTAGAACACTAAAATTCAGAATTATGCACCACAATATTCTAAGCATTTTGATTACAATTGAACTTAGAAAAAAAAAAGTTTATTCGAAACTGTAATGAAATTTAATTTTAGCTTGTCTGCCTAAAATGTATATAACGAACATAAAAGCACTATAGTTCCTGAACCCTTTGCACCAATTATATAAACGTCTTCCTATAGGAATTCAAATCCACTACTGCTAATGAAATCTATTCTATGACATTATCGATTAAGGAAAAAAAATTTAAATATTATTTGGATATGAATAACTCATATTGGATACATTAGAATACTTAAGGAGCGTTATATCATCTGAAGAATTAGATTTATTCTAGTTAAAAGCTTTAATTTAAAAACTTTTTTCTTTTGTTCTAAATCAATAATAACGATAACAATAAATATTACTAAATATTAAAATATAGTAATCAGAGATTAATGCAATAAGTAAATAATTGTACTATGATTAGAGCTGGTAGTCATTAGAAGCAAAACTAGCTAGCAAAGCTAGCTAATAAAATTTGCTCTTAATCTATCATTTTAGTAAGTTCTCTAGTCATTGTTTGAAACATGCATATAATTATTCATTTATATAAATCAGTTTAAGAACAAAAGTAATAATCACATACTTGGCACCAAAAGTAGCAAATTTCGCATCTTAGCACAAACAATGGTTTTCTAAAAATAGCGCTATTTTAAATACTACTAAAATTTACTGGCTCTAACTATGAAAATTGTTTCGAGATTTATATAAAAATAATAATGATATACGACTGACTTCAGGATTTTAGTAGCATTTAAAATTAGTGCTATTTTTTAGCAAAATAGCTAGCAACATTGTGTTAAGATGCGAAATTTGTTACTTTTGGTACCAAGTATATGATTATTACTTTTGTTCTTAAACTGATTTATATAAATGAATAATTATATACATGTTTCAAACAATGACTAGAGAACTTACTAAAATAATAGATTAAGAACTCATTGAAAGAACATATAATTACATTAAAATTTATATTGACAAACATAAATTTTGTAATAACTATTCTGCTAATTTTGCAAATTTTGCTAGCTAGTTTTGCTTCTAACGACCACCGGCTCTGGTTAGACTTTGATTTAATACATACCAAAAAGACACTTAAAACAATAGACTGTATGGCCGGGAAATAAATATGTATTTTTTGCTTTGTGAATCATGAAGCAAATCATAAACTATCCAT